TTTATGAACTTCTTCTTCTTCTTCACTGTTTGATGATCTGAGGACCCAAAGAAAAGGCCTCCCAAATTCCACTAGTGCATGCAAAATCTCTTCTTTTTGCTCATTCGTTAAAACTGCTAAGCTTCCAAATGAAACATAGATCACTGAACCCTTCGGCTTTGAGTCTAGCCACTGAAAATAGTCTTCAGATTTGCTGAATAAATCGCCACCAAAAGATTTGTCTGTCAAGTCATTTCCATCACAGAAAGCTGATGGTACTAAGGGGCCAACTGAAATAACCTTCATATTGGTGATTTCTTTGATTGGTTCTTGTTCTAATCCTTCAAATGTATTAATAAGAACAAATGATGCGGGGTCTTGCTCCAGGATTTGTATGTGTTCTAGGATGATAGGGACAATGAAACCACTCATAGGATCATCCGGTAAGAGAGAGGTGGGCAAGTCTCTTGAAGAAAATAATGGCAACGCCGGTAGTTTTATTGAGATGGGAGGATCCATTTCGCCATGATGTAGACCATCTTTGCTATTGAAGAAGCGGACGAAAATGGAAAAAACAGTGGCACACTGATTAAAAAGAAAAGCAGATGGTACCTGAAGATCACGGGCCACCACAGCCACCCAAGGAAGCAGGATGGTGTAAACTATAAGGGTCACCGGTTCCCCATCGGCTGAAAACTTTCGGACTAGATTGGCGAGATTTTGGGAACCTGTGCACCTAAATTCGAGTACGGAGCTTGAAAAATCTTTCCGGTTTTGTGAGTCATCATCGCCCTGATCACCGGAAATGGAAGCATATGACAAGCCCTTCAGCGTTGGGAGAGATTTTATTTGTTTAAGGCCACTGTTCTGGGTGGCTAAGGTAACTCTTGCACCATTGCGTACGATATTTTTCGCTAGCTGGAGGGACGGATTGATATGGCCTTGGATCGGGTAAAAGACGATCAAGAAGTGATGGTTGTTCATTACTTTGGCTTCTCGTTCTTGATCCATTTCTTCTTTGGTAATTGCAATTTGGTGATGGATTTGGAATATTGTTGATATATATTGTCATAGCATCGTCACCCTGTCTTCTGAATGATTTGATACTTAAGATAAGGGTTCATAAATTGGGAGATCATGATGAATGCCCCTCACAAAGGGGTGGGGTCCGCAATTTTAAAAAATCGCGGGTCACCCCATGTCAGGGGCTGTCATTATTCTCATAAAATTTTAGGAAGAATCCAATTGTACATAAATGCCTTTACAAAAATTCACCAAAATACTAATAATGAGTGGGCCTCATCATGTATTAAAAAAACAGAACATAATGTGCAGGATCAAATGTGTGTTTTCTGTGAATTTTCTATCAAAATGGCTTCTGCACATGAAACACTACTGAAAATTTTACAGCTTGTACTTAGTATAAATTTTAGAATATTACTTTTTCAAAATTGACTGTTAAGATATTACTTTTTCAAAATTGATTGCACCCCATGAGTGTGTGTGATGGATATTATTGAAAAAATAATGTATTTTGAATAGTGATATGATGAGAAATATGTGGTTAAAACGTAAAGAAAAATTATTTATGTGATGAAAAATATTATTTTATTGAAAAATGTGTAATTGAAAATGAGTTTTGAAAGAATATACTTTGAAAGAATGTGTATCAAATGTGGGCATGATATCAAGATTCATTAAATACAAATATATAATTGGATCATTTTAAACTCAAGCGAACCACTATTTTGCGAGAACGTGTGTTGAAGAAAAAAAAAAATTCATGTTTTGATAAATTGGTGGTGGAAAATAGGGATCATGAATATTTTTCAATATTTGGACTCGGACAACACTATTCAACGAATTAAACTATATGTACATTCTCCTTATATGTCAAAATCTGGCCATTAATGTGATAGAGTTTTGTAAAAATTAATGGTTATAATAGATGCCAAACAGTGTCAAACTTGAGAACTCAATCTTGTTTTGATAGAGAAATTTAGGGTGGAAAATAGGAGTCTTTGTCCCTACTCCAAGCTTGGAGGAGACAAGAAACTAGGGATGGCAATTCGAATTTTTAAAATCGAAAATCACGGTTAACCGAACCGAATGGGGCGAAAAAAATCGAATCGATTGTGCAATGAGGTGGTTATAGTTTTGATTTTAATAACCCGATTCGGGGTAGGGGTATGGTATTTAGCGACAATGCCCCGCCCCGAACCGATTACCCGTTAAAAAAAATTAATTGGACAATTAGACTTTTCATTATTCTTTCCCAAAATTAATTTGACAATTTTGACAATTGGGTTTCCCCAAATATTCTGGCCGAATTAATATTACCAGTAAATCCTTAACTCAGTAACTTAACTCTAA